AGCAGAGTATGGCAAGCGACATAGACGGAAAAGATGGAGATATAGAGAAACAGAAAGTGAAATAGAGAGAGAGAGTGAATCCTGGAGAAACTCAAGTCTGTAATTTTCCTCTTTTTTTCCTTCTCATTTCTCTGGCATCTCTTCAACTTTTCAAGCTTCTCATGAATCTCTGACATGTTGAAGCCAAGTTGGAAACGTTCGTTCTTGGAAAGGAGACGAAAAAAGAGGAGAGTAAGGGGGTGGATTATAAGAAATTTGAGTGAATGGATAGGAAGAAACATGTAAAAGCCTGTCATCAAGTGATATCTGAGAAAACTGCCATAGAGAAAGAAGAACTTCGTCTTCATTTCTCCCTTTTTTTTCTCTCTCTGATTCCTTTTTTTGATTCAACAGCTTGAAGCACAAGAAGAAGAAGAAGCAGAAGCGAGAAGATGAAGCAAGCAGAATGAGAAGAGGATGTGAGGACTTGTAGAGAAGCATCAGTATCAGGATGAATGAAAGAAGTTCGTTGTGAGAGGACGACACAAGAAAAGACATGTTGGTGTCAAAAAAATGTAATTAAAATGAGTAAAATCAATGAAATTAAAAAGGAAACAAACGAATAATTAATTTTAATGAAATAATTCGCTTTTGAAACATCAATTATTCCGAGCATTTTTGCCTTTTAAGCTTATTTGATGAGCAAAAACATGGAACACACGGAGAAAGGAAATCTTTGTTGATCAGGAGAAGAGCTTTGAAAACGAAGAGAAAAAAAGAGGAAAAGAAGCTTTTCAGTTATTTCAAATGACCACAAATGATCGTTAAGCAAACAAACTCAAAGGTTCGCCTTCTTCTTCTTTTTTTTTTTTCAAAAAAATAGTTTTTAATGAAGCAAAATAGAAGGGAAGACTCTTTTGTTTTTGAAACTGAAGACGTGAAGATAAACTCATATCACTTGACTGTCGGAGGGTTGTTGAATACTTTCAAAGCGAAGAGAATATTCTATGAACGGGAAGGAAGAAAGCAAAAATGAAAAATCTGGAGATAGAGAGTTCAATAAGTAAAGAGAATATATGAAGAAAGAGGGAATCCTAGAGAGTGAGGAAGACAAAGAGAAAGTTAACTGTACATCCAGAAAGAGGGACGCTTACAAGGGAATGTTGAGAAGAAAGAAAAAGAGGGGGTGAAACAAGAATTGAAACATGGAGAATGGAGGACTCAGAATGTGTTAACTCTCTTTGCAGAAGCCCACTCTGACATAGATTAACAGAATCATTCAACAAAGCTTTTAAATGGGAATCCACGTGATAATGTGTCACGTGGATTATGCTAATTAACTGAAAAATACATTTTTCAAGAGAATTTCGGTGAATAAATCAATATGGGAAAATGAACAGACGAAAGTTTAAATAATTAAATTATGTTGTGAGCTGATTGAAATGAACTATGGGAATGTTAATTATATGTAATTAACCATATTTAAGAATATTCTTTTATCTTCTTCAAAAGCTGCGATTACTATGAATGAGAGAATATGGAGAGACGTTTGGGCCAGTAAACTTCCGCCTATGATATGCTGTCTCTCGAACTGCTTTTTATGCAAAAGAATTCCTTTTAGGGACTTCATCCTTTTTTCTCTTTCCCACATCTCATATCTCTCTCTTTATGAAACTCTCTTCTCTCTATATCTATGCAACTCTCTTTCAAAAAATATATCACCATTACCCTCTCTTCTTATCTAATCCTCCTCCCTCTCTTTCATTTATCTTTCCTAAAGGCTAACACATCCACACACATACACACACGATGATCGTTATAATGAAATTCTTATTTTCAGTTAAAGATTTAATTTGAGAATCTTTTTTCTCTGAGCACAAGTTATAAAAATACTGCACTTTCCTCCAAATGAATATTTTAATGAATATGGGCGTTGAATTGTAAAATTAAATGTTTTCTATGAAAATGATCAGAGATCCGTTTGCCCTTATAGCTTAAATGCATGAGCTTTTCCTACCTTCTAGTAGTCAACACAAGGACCATAGAAAGTGGAAGAAAAAAAAAGGAAAAAAATTTTAGAATAAAAAAAAAAAGAGAATAAAAAAGAAAGAAGATGAGAAAGGAGAAAAGAAAAAAAAAGAAGAAGAAAAAAGATTTTAAAATAAAAGAAAGAGAGAGAAGAGTGAGGGGAGAAAGAGAAAGAGATTGTTATGGTTAGCAACCGTTCCATGAGCTCGCCAATGGTAAAATGAAATACGTGTGCTCGTATGCATGTACGTGAATACTTCCCACGTGAAGCTTTGACGTAATTTTTCCACGTAAATTTTTGACGTAAATATTCTGAATCTCAAATAGCTTTTGCATAATGTGAGCTTTTCACATAACCTTCATCTGATTTTTGAGTTGATCTGTGCATGTTTCACTTGATTGCATCACCAAAATTTTTGAAAGCATACCCACCTATTCATTTGAATAACATGTTTTCATTTGATGCAAGTGAGATGCATTTATGTAAAAGGTAACATCTCATTAGAGGTACGCACCACGCATTCATTGTCTCGAAAATCAGATGATGCTGCGTGGGAATACAGCTAGCAAGCTAAGTAGTGAAAATACAAATTGTATATCTCTCACATCATATCATGTTGTTGTTTTTTTCTTTTGACTTCTTTTTTTTTTAAAAAACAAACAAAAAGAAAGCAGAAAATGAAATAGAAGGTGTACGTGAGCAATGACATGAACAAATATTTTTATTTCTTTATCTTGTTCTTCATATCCATATTGTAATGTATCTGTAGCGTGTAGTTATATGGAATGAATGGAATGAGATATCTGACATCATCTTTGTTGACTCGTTATCGAAAAATAACTGAACAAATCTATTCTTAACATCATTAAAACATAAATATCCGTTTTTTTTCTGACCGAATCTATCCGAAAGATTTTCGTGATTGGAATTTATCGGTCTGCTTCTTGTTGTTCCGTATTCTCTCTTTCATCATCTCTCTCAGTATTGGCTCTCGTGTTCACTCGTTGTTAATCTGTGTTACCTTGCTGCTATGCTCACGTGTTATCACATGTTACCCAATATATCCTTCAGAATCTTCTTTTTTCAACCTCCTTCACTCTCCGCCTATTCTTTTATTTGATTATAAGTTGTCTGATCCTGTGTCAATAACCGCCTACTCTAGATCCGTCTTGTATTTAAGCAGAAGATTTTTGTTAATCATTCATCAGATTTTCTTTGCAAATCTCAATTACTACCTTACACGTCACATCATTCTGACTGCTCAATCCCCAGTTCTGACGAAAATGGAAGCCAAGAAGGATCAGGTAATCTATTTTCTTTACATTATGTTAATTTAATTACATTGCTTCAAGGTCTTCGGAGCTTATTATGATGAAGAGAACAAGCTTCGCTTCTACAACTGCGTTCCTGTGAAGGTAATTGAATTCTAATCCTCCAACGTACACATTCATTTTCATTTGCAGACTAAAGAATCGAAAAAGAAAATCTTCCAAAGCGGCAGTCCATTGAAGAAAAATATTTTCGGACGTATCTTCAGAAGTACAGACTCTGGATCAGAATTATCAATTGACTCCAGCACAACAAATTCATCCAAATAATTATTTGAACAACAAGTTAAAATTCATCTTGGTATTGATTGTACATTTCTATTCCAGTGATCTTTCTACCGTATTCTGTATAGTTAAGATACTAAGTTAACTCGTTCATCATTTACAAACATGACAGTTTGAAAAAAATGTTTTCGTTCCTTCAAACGCCATGTAATCCTCATGATATTTTCAGTTTCATCTCATTCATTCAAGATATAAAAACTTTTTTTTTCTCCTCTTTCTTCTTCCTTCAAAATAGATTTTTTCCAATATTTTTCATCGAAAATAAACAATTTCAAATGAGAAAAAAAACTGTCAATTTTTGCACACGAACGTTTCTTCTTTGAGCTGCTGATGAGTCAGATTGGATCGGAAGCTGCAAATTCTCTGAAAATGTCACAAAATGCGAAGAAATGATGGAAAAATAAAGAAATTCATTTACTTTATAGATAAGTTAGTTTTACACAACGCCGGCATAATTTCAGTACACTTGTTCGGAATAGTACTGAAGAGGGATTCCCTTTCCGTATATCAAATGGTCAGCTCAGTTCAACGGCACCATACAGATCATTTGTGTCTCTTCCTGTCTCTCTCTACTTCTACATGTGTAGATAGAGAGAGAAAATGAAAGCAAACTCATAGGGATTGTACTTGACACATCTTACTCTTTCGTTTTTGTTTTAAATCAAACAAAATTCATTTGTTCTTACTTACATTTATTTGATTGTTTTAACATGTTTTATTGAGATAAATTGTGTTCGAAAAACTGTTGAAGATGAAAGTCGGAAGTGCTTGAACAGCTTCATGTTTGAGTACCGTTATAGCCAATCATATGGTTACTAAAAATAAGATTATAATATTTGAAGATACTGAAAAATCTTTTAAAAGTTCGAAGATTAAATGGTTAAAATCTTTTTCTATTTCGTACGTCTGGTATTTGTGCGAAAATAATTTTTGGAAGTTAGGTCATTTGGCGCGTCGTATATAATATTGTTTAAGATCAATTAGCATAATCAGCGTTCATTAGCTATTGATCAAAACAGTTTGATTAGTGTATGGGAAAGACCCAGTGTCAGAAGACGCTGATAGAACGGTTGCATCACACTTCATGTGTATCCTTTAAATTTAAATTTTTTTTTAAATTTTCTTATTGCAGTTCAAACGGGATGACATCAATGCGTTCAGAGGATTTCTCAGTTTCTATCAATTGGCAAAGGTAATTCTATAGAAGAACGTGATGTTAATGTCATCAACATTTACAATCCGGTTCTAAATTCTCTCTCTCTCTCTCTCTCTATCTCTCTCTCTCTTATAAACTTCTTTTCATTTTCTCTCTTTTTCTCTAATTTGGCGTCAAGCACATATTCACGCATTTTGGTATAACTGAGGATGAATAGAAAAAAATGAATTCATTCATTATATTTATATTCTTTATCAAATGCCATCTGATTGTAGATGCGGGTGAGGATGAGTTTTATTTTTTTTTCTATCTTCAACTAATCATTTGTCTTTGTTTTTTTCTGCCTTCATTTATCAGAAAGAAAAAGAAGTTATAATAGACGTGTCTCTCATCTTGCGTGTATGTTTGATTACAGTTGAACTAAGAATCGAGACAACATATCAAGCAGAAGACAATAATCTGGAAACTGAGGAACATGCGCAATGTAAAGCATGGAAATTGTGGGAACGAACGAGAGTGATTTTCAGTTTTTCATTCATTTTTTTATATTTCAATTCAATTGTAGAATGAACATATCGATTTATCTCCTCAAGATATTGATGTTCTATCAAGTCGAAGAAGCGTTGTACAAATTCTCAATATACGTGATGCGGAAGCATATGACATACCAGAAGATCTTCTACATCAGTACAAGGCATATGATCTACTGATCCATTTCCATAAAAAGCTCTTTTAGCCGATTATTGTGAACTTTGAAGAGATCTGCCGCTTCCATGCAAGAATTCTACGTATAACTTCGCGTAAGGTAGCTGTACGCTATCGAGTTGATACGACCAGGTTATGCTTTTCCGAATCGAATGATACAAATGTTAGTTAATATTGATAAAGAACTGTATATGGCAATGATGCTTCAGATACTAGAGGAAGAAACGAATGATGACGTAAGTTGGCTGAATGACACTATAGCCATGTTAGAGTATCAACCTGATATGGATCTCAATCTGTTACGACTTCATCAATCCATAGCTATATTCAGGAAGAGCATTTGTACGAACAGTACATTAGATGAGCCACTTGATATTCAATACTACAAAGGTTTCTCCATTATCGTCTCTTCGCATAGTGCTCTCACACTTCCGTTTTGCAGAAAAATATGGAAATTTCGGTTTTAACGTGTCTGTCATCGGAGAGAATGTAGATAAGCTTATTGAGAAAGTGCGAAATACCGCAAGACTGGATGAAGTGTTCAAGTGAGCTCGGACTTTCAGAAGCTTTTGATCTCTCTTATTCTCTTTTGTCATTCAGGTTATTTGAGGAAATGTCGCTATCTGAACAACGTCCATTTCCTGCAACGCAACTATTACCCTGGCTTAAACATGTCAAATACGATTCAAGGCAAACAATTACCTTTTGACTTCGAAATTAGAAAAGATGAAAGAAAAAATGAGTTTCTTTTCTTCAGAACTCCACCTGTCATATTCCAAGGTGATCAAGTTGTTGTCAAGATTGGGCTGCACATACAATCTATGAGCAACTTTGAGCTATCAACTATGGTTAGAATTTGTGTTCTAAGAATATATGATGCAGTTATTAGGATTATAACGTTGATGGATGGATTCGAATGGCTTGGTTAGACCCACGATTGTGCCATTCATTCAGTCGACCTGTAGTAATCAATGAATACACTTTTCTGAAGAAAATCTGGCGTCCTGATCCTATCTTCAAGAATTCGAAAGCTGCAGCCTTTCATATGGTGAACAACATAATGAAGAATTTGGGTAACAATGGTTCTAGGTCAGCAATCTGAACTTTTACATGTTCATCTTTCCGGATGGATTGGTTTTCCTTGACTTACGAGTTCACCTAAAGCCTACTGTTGGAGAAATAGTCCTATGTAAATATCCTCATGATAAGCCGGCTTGTTCTTTGAAAATCAGTGCATGTAATGTTTTATTTCAAACATTAGTAAAGTAAACAACACAACATTCAGTGGGATTCACTCAAGATGCTGTTCGTTTCGAATGGTTTTCTGATCATCATCATGCAATCCGCTTAAACCAAGACGTGCAAATTCCGGAGTTGGTCTTGATGAAGTACACAGCTGAGTATTGCGATGGCCATCGTAAATCTGGTTGGACTCAAGTATATTGACAGTTTCACGAGAACTCTCTTTGATTACAGGGAACTACTCATGTTTGGAAGCTAAGTTCTATATGCAGAGACAGATTGGTTATCACATAGCACAAACTTATATTCCGACCGCTCTATGTGTTCTTTTCTCAATGATTTCTGTGTGGCTACCAGAAGAGTTTGTTGAAGGTTTACAAATCACTATCCAATAAGCTCAGACTCTACTTGAAGGAAGAATTTTCGTGTCGTTGACTGTGTTCTTAACATTGAGTGCTGAAAGCAATTCTGCCAAAGAAGATTTACCAAAGGTGTCATACATTAAGGTTCTTATAAGGGTTCGTCTGAATGCTAACTCGCCTCATTCTTAGGCTATTGATATCTGGTTTGGATTTACATCTTCCTTCGTGTTTCTAACGATGATTCAAGCTTTAACAGTCATTACATTAGAACATTGGAGTCGAAAATTGGTAAAAACATCTTTATACATGAACGAAAGTTATAAATACAATTGAAGAGAAAGAAATGTGAGAAGAATGTCGATGAGTTCAGTCGTTATAAGATAGCGATGATGATGTTAAATAGTCATTATTATCATAAATTAGGACGTAATTTGGATACATTTTGCAAAGTAAGTGTTAGATTGTGATAAACGAATAGCAGATGTATGAGTTTCAGGTGATGTATCCTGTCTTCTTCCTGCTCTTTCTAATGATATATGGGTTTGTCATCACACAAGGTGATGAGGATAAATGCATTCAGAACAATTTATAAAATGTAAAAAGCTAATAAACTATTCATCTGTTATACTTTGAGCCCTGTCTTTGTTAATTTTATTCTTGGCTTGTGTTTGAGGCAAGGTGAATTGTCTGAATACAATTATTACTCATGGAGTTACTTGACCATACCTGTTGTCAGACGGAACATATCTGGATCATCGTAAAGGCTGAACACACATCGTAGTCTGTTTCTATCATTTTCCTTTGTGTAACGATTTGGATAAACCTTAGGTGCATAGTAAGGCAACGGGCCTAAATTTCTTTTCAATGAACGAGCTCATTTTCTGAGAAATCTACCTCCATATGGAGCTGGAGCACAGTCGCACACTTGAGATTTCCACATGTTACCCCAATCAGGATGCCACGAGTATCCGTGTTGAACGGCGTCGAAGTTATCCAGCATTCCTATATACTTTTTATTATTAAAGATTATTTTGTTGCTCTAACCTCGACAACTTAAGCTTCGTTCCGGACCGTGCGGAACTTTGAAATATTTACAAAACCATTTGAAAGCTTTGATTCTTCGTGATTCTCCTGGTCCGCCAGGTTCATCCGAGTCTTCTCCTCCGCACTCATTATTAATAACCAAGCTCGTTGGACCAAAGACTGGACCAGAAAAACCTGCTCGACGATTCTTAGCTGATTGTCTCCAGTCACCTGGAATCGTTTGAATTTTTGATATCTTTGGTCATCGGCCATTACCTATGACAATGCTGTGCATAGAGGGTTTAGGTGGTTGAGGTGTCATGTAAAACCAAAGTGAAGCTATCATAGCAAGTGGAGGGTCCATTTTAGTGAGAACCTTACAAGATGAATTTTACTCAAGTAATAGTTTGATCAAAGTTACCAAGTTTGGATTGTTCAACAGATCTACTTCAATATTCTTGGTTAAGAGAAACTGTTGAAACAAACCATAGTTGTAATTCCAAGAAAGCTGAAAACATGATTACTCTGTGATATGAGCTCATTCAGAAACTAAGAAACCTGTAAAGGTCCTCTACCGAAATAGCATCCTTTATAGAAAGTCTGGTTTGAATGTGACTCAGTCTGTTGGTTACATGGATACCAATATTGAAGTAAAGGATCTTCTTTGCAGTATCTCGCTTCTTCCACACAACTGAACATTTTGTATTTCAAAACAATTTTCTTGCTCCATGATTCATAGACCACTTTCTAGATTTCTTACCGTTTGCCATCTTTCACAGAATAACCAGGAAATGAAGGATGAAGAAAGTCAGAAGTTGGTCCTCGTTCAAACCAGTTATAGAACCCTCCTCGATAAAAACATTCGGCTTTCTCTGCATCAGTTAAGGTAGTGCTGCAAACAGAAGCTGGTTCAACGAGTTGAAACTTTGTAAGAACTTGTAGTAGATTCCCAAGTTGTTCTCTCCTGTCTCTTGCAAAACGTGAGCAAAGAAGGCAGCTAAATCTCTGCGATGATGTTCTTCTGGTTTGAAATTCTCAAAATGAAAAGTTTCATACTATTATTAAGAAAAGTGAAACCTTAGAGGGATGTTCATTTCCAAACTCTGGAAAATATCGAGCAGCTATGACAAAAGACTCATACGAATAGGGAAGACATTCATGAGGTCCCAAACCAATATTTGATTTTGGAAAAAGATCCTACAAAACTTCCAACATCTTTGCATAGATGAGTTAAATAAGTGAACCTTGAACATCTCCTTTGTAAACCATTTCTCAATAGCAGACTTCTTGAGCTTGTTAGGATCAGATGCTTTCTCACAGTTATCTTCCACTGGCTTACCGTGAACTTGTGCCTTAGGACAGTATGAAGCTAGCTCAGCTTAGAAGGAGCCAAGTAGTTAATGAGTTTGAAAATGATATGATACCTTGTATGGATGTGAAGGAGAGCAGGATACTCAGAAATATGAGAATAAACGTTGTCATAATACATAAAGCAGTGGAATGAGCTTCCAGTTAAAACGATAAATTTAGGAACGAGTGCAGAAGCTTCAGAATGACATGAGATGCCAACAAAGACGAAGATTATTGAATGGAAAAAAGTGGTTTTGGCCGGTTTTGGAGCAACGATTGATTGAACACGGATGGTATCTAAGACGTTTGACCCCTGAGGGAGCTTCTCTCGACAGTCGTCCTTCTTCTCTCCTTCTTCAGCAGCTTCATTTCTTATGTTTGCACGAGACAGCTCATCTAAACACTCGGGTAGACCTTCCTCTATTCAGATGGACAACGACCGGTTCAGCTTCGTCCATCAATAGCACAAACAGCAAAAGAAGAAATCGTTCCTTGCCGAGATTCTGCCCTTTTTTTGAAACCAAGAAAGATGTTGAAGGAATAGAAGAAAGTGTTTGAAATGAATCGATGACACCGTTTTTGACTGACTGTCCAAATCCTATTAGAGAAGTATTCAAGTTGAACGGTAATGAAGAAGCTCTTTCGTCTTATCATTTTTCACACGAGATGTTTGTCTTCCCAATTAAAAGTATAAGCGAAGCTTATTGAAGCATTAGTGATCAGAATCTTAAGTTTCGAGAAAATCTTTTATTGATTTGACGAACTCACAAATATAATGATCAAACCTGAAGAATAGTTATTGTGTGTCATTAAAATTTGTCTACAACTATAATTTCTTCAAATGAAATAGATAATTTCATTCTCAATGTTTGTAATAAATTTATAAGATAAGACAGAGTTTTTGTCTTTCATATACTACTTCTTCTCATTCTTCGTCTTCTTCCTCTATTCGCTCTTCAGAAGGATGTCGTCGTTAATTCAAATGAAGATGATAAGAAATGCCAGATAAGATATTCCGTATTTGTCTTCTGTACAGATTCATTTTATTATTTTGGAACACACATATCGCACAAAATATTTCAAAATGTTTAAAATGATAGTTCCGACATTGCAGTTCTCTGAGCATTCTGTTGTCTGGGGTACAGAGTATAGTCCATCTGATAGAGCATTACCGGCAGAGAGCAAACGTCAGTAGACAACGAAGTAGAAGGCATCTAGACGAACATAAAGCTGACTTATTCATTATCCTTATTCAATTTTTATTTTATTGACGAAAAAATACTAACACTGTATTATTATCATAGTTGACAAAGCGTTCATGGTTGTCATGTTCCGTATCCTGTTTGATGAGATGGGGAGTTTGTAAGTAATTGGAATTTAACTAAAACATACAATGTTGGAGTCTTATCTTTAGAACATCTTTAATTTATTCTGTTTTGTAATAATGATTATGAAATTGCAATAAAGGATCATTTTTTATCTTTTCTGAATGTTTTATGAATGAATCACATCTGATTTATTGACTAAAACTTTATTAATTACTTTTAATTCTCATCTTTATGTTGAAGGTATGGTAGTTCTAGCCCTAGTTAATACTAGAATACAACCGTTCAACCGGACCTCTGCTGTTGATTGAGCAAAATGATTTTCATCGCACTCACGTGCCTTCAAGTTTGAAGTATTAAAGCGGCACATCTTCTGCCAACATTAACAATTTGTTTTGCCATTTTTATAGAAAATTTACAATCTTTGATCTTACAATACGAAGACAAAGGCACGTGGTCAAGTGAGATAAGGAAAGATGAATAATCATCCATTTAATAGAATTATATCAAAGATGAGTGTAGTTTGATGGAACAATTTTGTACATTTCCAACAATATGGTTGATTACATTAAAGTTTCAAAATTTCCGATACGACAAACAGTGAGAAGATGGTGCTGTGTGATTGAACATCTTTTCATATATACCCTTCTTGATATTGCCATGGAGCAAGACAGAGAGAACGATCAAACGAGATAGGTATAGAGAGAAGGAGAGAGAAAGGAAGGAAAGATACAGAAGTTAAGAAATACCACGTGTTTCATTAAGACTTCTGTGCAACGAATTTTATCTTCCGGAATGCCAACAATGAATAATGAAACAAAAATATGAATTTCAGTAGTAAGGTTGATAATACTATAATCTGCTACCGATTATCAATCTTCCGTGCTTGCAATTTTTCCCAAATATAATTCCTTTGCTTAGAAGACGGCTATTCAATTGGCTAAGGAATTAAGAAAACCTTTTTTGTTACGCAATAAGAGATCAGGGTTGTGTAGCTAGAACAGTTCATCTCGTACTCGCAAATCATTATTTGAAATAGGCCATTACATGATTAAAGAGTATTTTATTGCTTTTTTCTTCATTAGTATTCCGATTGCGAAAATTGATGTACGATGTGATAAGCCTTCGAGCTAAAGCTCTTACCAGCTTTTATTCATCAAATTCCTTGTGAAAAACAAGAATGACACAGCTTGGGTTATTGCTTAGATGAGCATATAGTGGCTGTTCATAACAGTTATAACATCTTAGGAATAAGGATTTTTCAATGTACTCGAATCTATCAGAAGGAAAATTGAATACGGATTTGAATGATTGCTACTTGTTACAAAGTTCACAACACAATTGATGTTGGATTTGAAATCTTATCATTACCAAGGAACAAACGTCAGCACAGAAGAGAGAAATGTTAAAAATATAAAGAAGAGCAAGAAATTGGAAAAAATAACTGTTCGCTAACTGATAATATATATTTTGAATTCATTGTAAAAAGATCTGTTGATCTTTCCAATTTGAACTAATGAACTGATGAACTGTATCATTACGAATGTCTGATAGCCTAAGTGGTCTTGTTCAAAATACTTTTCATTGAGCATGTTGCTCTGTATTCATTGTGTCATGGATAATAAACTTGTCAGCGAAATTTTTGTGTACAAAGTTCACTTTTTTTTGAAATATAAGATAAAGTGAAAAAGGAATTTCTTATTTCAGTCGTTAGATATCTATTATTCATCCTCTCAATGATCTAAGGCGTTGCTCATGTAATCAACAGAAACAGTTAAAACAAGCCATTCATAACTGTATGTGATAAAACAAATAGATAACAAACAAAATTCCAAAAAGTTACAATAAACTATTCTAACAATTGTATTTTGGTTGAAAACTTATTTGGAGGGCATAGGTATGAGAGATATAGCTCGAAGATGAAATACATATATGTTACTAGGCTTCACTACTACTGATGAGTTTTGATAAGCAACCGCTCTGCACTTCTGTGAAGTATGAAATGCCAACTTCCAATAACACTATCACGGCTTTATGCTAATTAGCCGTGACAGTCGTCCAAACTTCTTCTCAGAACGTAATCGCGGAAAGAAATGAATTATTGAAGAATTTAATTATTATCTTTTTATTACTATTCATAGATGCTTGATCAATTTTGATACTTTTAAACGGAATTAAATAGTTCGATTAAGGGTTTGTATAGAACAAGCTGCTACTTGTCGTCCTCTTCAATGAGCTTCTATTACGTGGCTGAATTCTTTTCTCCTGTTTGACTCTCTTCGTATATAGTTCTATTTTCGGGATCAGCAAGCGATCTGAATCTTTACGACCGCTCGTCGTTATATATAACAGCTCATTCTGCTCTCTATCGCCTTTAGTATATGTTATCAGTTCGTTAGTAGCTCGGTGGCTGCACTCATGCCAGCTTCTGACTTGTATTGCCTAACCCTCTAATACTCTCTTTTTCTCGCATTAAACGCTAATACCATGCTCTTATCGGGAGAGGGGGGCTGTCGATCTTCGATTACGGTATGTCGACCGAAAACCAAATCTACTATGGCTAGCTTCAAACTCAGTTTCAGTTGAGTTCGTCTTCAGGGTTGGTCGTCTCCAGCAGGCTCCAACCTTTGAGAAAACCGATCATTGTCTTTATTCATAGCCTTCTACATCTACTTATATCTGCTTCACCTCATACCACATTGCCTTTCTATTTCATTCATTAACTATTTTTCAAGTTGCAGGATGTGTGAAGTATTTCGCCATTCTAAGCACTTTTTATTCTTCAACACATAGCTCAACTATTTCATTCTTTTTCATCTCTTATCTATAGAAACTTGTTTTGAATATGTTAAACTACTAATTTCTTTCAACTGAGATTCATTATTTATAGAATGCGCTTGGGTATATTCCTGGCTCTTGTAGCCTCGGCTGCGGCTCTCCGCTGTAACAGTGGTAACCTCATTCTTGAGGATGGAATAATCACTGCAAAATCATTAGAATCTGTAAGTTGATTGTAATTGCCATCTTGATAAATTAATATCTTATAGAAATTATGTCTTGGTACATGTACCCGTACCGTAATTGAGGCCACTCAATCTACCGTTGTTTTCTTAGGCTGTCAAGAGAATGAGGTTTGTGTTAACTTACAAATGAATGAGATACAACATTGTTTTATAGATCTCAAACTTCTTGAATGAGAAAGAAGGAAAAGTTGGATGCTCTGCCACAGAACTCGGAACCGAATGCGTCTGTAAGGATGGCGATTTCTGCTCAGATTATCATGCTGAGGAGAATATCGAGCATACCGAGCTTGCTAATACTGGCGAGTCCGATGCGTAAGTATTTAAATAACCATGAAATGTATCATTAAGAGCCCATTAAAATGCGTGTTTGCCACGTTTTGGCATTAATTAGATTCTTATTTAATTATAAGAGAAGCCATATAAAAGTTCTTATCAGTAAAGTTATATGACTCTCTGGAGAGTAGGAAAGCTTGATAAAATAGAATATGAATGTATATCTCTGAGCATATAGATAATAGTGTAGTGCAAAAAGTTTGCAGAAACTAAAAAAACTACTCTCGAAAGTTAAAATTTGAACTTGAATTGACAGTAGCATTTCTTCATACATATATATTGTTTCAGTGTTGGACCCAAATGTTATGTTGGATACTATGCTGTTCCTGTTAATGGTCAAGCTGCCCAAATTCTCAATGCTGGAGACACCGTATATTGCTCACCAAACATGGCTTGTTCCAGTTTGAACTCAACTGTTTATGGATATGATGTTGAAGCTTACTTCTGTATTCCAACAACTGTTTGTAACACTTTGATCGGACAGAATGATGGTTGCGGATCAGTGAAAAATGAAAACAACACCGTTTATGGATGCTGCTGTACTGATCTTGTGAACGGATGTTTGAAGCTTGTTAACAAGAATATCAACCCACCAACAACTGTTACCAATGACACTCAAACTGTTAACTGTTATTCTGGAGCTGCGCTCGATTACCACAATTTGGGAGGTTCTGGCACCCTATGCCGCGGATCATGCTCTTATTTCTCTATCCGTACTACCCTCGGACAAGGACCAGGCCAAACCAATCATGTCCTCGACATTTACACTTGCGACCCTGTCGAACTTTGTACAGCCATCGGACTCAAGAATAGTTGTGGAAACTTGGCGATTAGTGGAACTGATTCTCTCCTTCGTGGTTGTTGTTGTGACAGTGATAATTGCATCGATCCCACTACTACTCCACCAAAGTATCCAGTTAAGCAACTTAAATGTTTCACTGGATTCTATGCACCTGGAAACGGCTACAGTATTGGAGCAGAGCAATATTGTGATGGCCAATGTGGTCGTATGGAATTCATGGTCAATGGAACTTCAATTAAGTACATGATGTGTGCTCCATATACAACATGTCAAGGACTCGGAATTGCTCAAGCTGACCAGTGTTACAACCCACCACTTGAAGAGGAAACTAAGCTTTGCTGTTGTTCATCCTTCGATAACTGCAATATTGCTAAGCTTGACCGTCCTTATATCCCAGTTAATACAACAATTGTTCCAACTAACAACTACCCAATCCTCTGTTATGGAGGAGTTTTCTTGAACGGAAACCCAGTTAGTAATGGAGCTTACTCTTTATGCTCAGGTGAATGTGCCACCGCCTCTTTTGTTACTAACATCTGGGGACAACAACACAATACCACCATTTATACTTGTGATCCCGTGTCAATGTGCAAAACTGCCCAGATTACCAACTCATGTGGAACAGTTGATGGTATTTCTGGAGTTACTGCTTGCTGCTGTGACCAAGATCTATGCTATGATCCAAACAGAAAACCAATGGGACAACTTACATGCTACACAGGAATTTATGTTCCTGACGATAACTACTTGACCGGAGGTGAAATGCAATGCGATGGATGGTGTGCCAGCTTAACCGCAGTTATCAACAACAAAACAACTAACACATATTGGTGTGCCCCAGTTCAGACTTGTCGTCGTTATGCTCTCGGCATGGGAGGTGATAACAACTGTGGTTCTGTAAGTGGATCTGATAACACTTTGACCGGTTGCTGTTGTTCTGAGAAAGACAACTGTAACATTCCCAGCAGTCTTTTGCCTAATGTTACTAGTATCCCTACACGCATAGATCCTCCAATCGTCTGCTACGAAGGTCTTTACATCAACGGACAGCCAAGCACCCCTGGCCGTTACCGTGTTTGTGACGGAGAATGCGCTTCTATCTTTATGGGAACCACAACTAAGAACAACACTCTCTTCACCGCTGCACTCTATACTTGTGAGCCTTCTGGATCATGCTCTAGCATGAACCTTCGTAACAACTGCTCTATGATCGATAGTCAAGTTAATGCTTGTTGCTGTGATACTGATGCTTGTATTGATCCTACCGTCAACAGAGTTCCAGGACAAAAACTGACTTGCTTCGCTGGACTTATATCTTCTTACAACAATACCAATGTTGGAGCAGAAGTTCCCTGTGATGGTTATTGTGCAAATATAACATCAACTGCTGGAGGCTATCCTTTCACATCATACCATTGTATGCCTAAGGCTGTTTGCCGTGGTTTTGGTCTGTCCAACAAATGTGACACTTTACTGCTCACTCGTGCATTTAGCGGATGCTGTTGTGATTATTCAGATAACTGCAATGTTCCTCCCAGTGTTAATACCACCGGACCAGTCGCTCCTAAACTTGCCCCTATCGCTTGTTTCAGTGGATTGAAAGTTAATGGAAATTTCACCGAGGGATCTGGTTTCCAAACTTGTCAAGGAGACTGTATGTCCCTCAATATTCTCACAAGTTATGCTAATCAATCGATTGCTGCTTCTATCTACTCTTGCGATCCAACATCAGTCTGCTCGGGCTTGAAGATAACAAATCAATGTACAGACATTGAACCAGGTGCAATTGAAGGATGTTGTTGTTCTGACTCTGGATGTATTGATCCTACAGCAAACCCCGAAAAAAAACCAAACGGAAAAGGAGTGGTCTGCTTGGTTGGACTTGTTTCAAGTAATAATGTCAGTAGCATCGCTGAAACTCGCTGCTTTGGATCCTGTGCATCTCTTACCACCGTCGTTGCTAGCGTTAATGTAACAGCATTTGCCTGTGTACAAGACAGCTTGTGCAACGCTATGAATGTATACGACAATTGTGGACCACTTCCACTAGAAAATAACGTTAGAGGATGTTGTTGTAACAACGCAGATAACTGTAATGCTAACGGATTTGGTGTTCAAACCAACAAAACAGCTCCTAACTATCACGAGTACCCAGTTATTTGTTATTCCGGTCTTTATGTCAACGGTTCACCAATCGGAGGCGGACAATGGGAAGCTTGTAACGGAGATTGCGTGTCTGTTACTCTTAACAGCACTTACCAATCCAAATTCTACAGTGCCGATTTCTATACCTGCGATCCTTCATCCATCTGTCATCAGCTTAATGTTATCAACACTTGTACTAATTACGCTGGTGGATATGGAGCATGCTGTTGCGATACTGATACATGTCTTGATCCCACTCACAGATATCCACCTAAACGACCTGGAAAACCGTTGAAGTGTTATGTTGGATTAAAGACAAGTAACACTTCTGTTGGTTCCGAAGTTAACTGTAATGGACAATGTGCTTTCCTCACTGGACTCGTAGGAAACCCACCCTCTAACGTTACTGCATACATGTGTGCTCCTAAACGAGTTTGTAAGACTCTCGAACTCGACGAAAAAGTTAAGCAAATTCCACTGGACACTGCTCTTTTTGGAATGTGCTGTGACAGTTCTGACAACTGTAACGTAAAGGACAAGTCTATCGATACTTCTGCTAATGTATCCCAGATTGTTGAATATCCTATCACTTGCTACCAAGGTATTCAAGTTAATGGTGTCTGGGTTAGCAACGCCGGGTTCCAAGTTTGTAACGGAGAATGTGCTATGCTTACGCTTAATTCCACCGTGAACAACGGAACTGCTATCACTGCATCAGTTTACACTTGTGACCCAACTGCTGTATGTAATGGTCTTGGAGTAGTAAACACTTGTGTACAAATTCAAGATGGACTTCAAGGATGTTGTTGTAGAAGCAACGGATGCATTGATCCATCCAAGAACGTAACCAAGCTTCCAGGAAATCCACTGACTTGTTACGTTGGTTTGCAAACTTCTTCTAATATTTCCTTCGGAGCATCTGTTGTTTGTGACGGAAAGTGTTCGTCTCTTAGTGGTATTGTTGGTGGACAACAAGTGACAACTTACCATTGTGTTGATAGCTCCATCTGCAGGTTTAACTAAAATTCCTTTTTCTCATTCACTCTCTTGTTATTTAGATCTCTTGAACTTGATGATGTCTGTAACACTTTGTACGCTGACCAGGAAGTCGTTGCTTGTTGCTGCGACAACTACGATTACTGTAATCTTCGTGATAATACTGTAATTCAGACTATAACAGAAACGTTCTCACTATTGTTCTTTCAGACTAAAATCCCCGACCCTCCAACCAAAAACGTTGAGTTCCCAATCACTTGCTGGTCAGGAGTCTATCTCAATGGTAACGCAATTACTCCAACCAAGTGGACTGCTTGTAGCGGAGATTGTGTTTCTGTCTCTTTGAATACCACTCTCAACGGTACTAACACTGCCACCCTCTACACTTGCGACCCTTCATCCGTATGTACTGGCCTCAAAACAATCAATTCTTGCGCCAACCTCCAAACTGGACTTCGTGCTTGCTGTTGTAACACTGATGGTTGTCTTGATCCCAAGAGTGCACGTGATCCTGGAAACCCATTGATGTGCTACGTTGGAGTCAAGACTGGCAAAGTCAGTTCTGGAGCTTCTGTTCCCTGTAACGGAAAGTGTTCCTCTCTTTCCGGAACAATCAATGGAACTAGAATCGAAACTTTCCATTGTTCAGACACATCTATATGCCGCAGCTTGGAGTTAGACAATGAATGTCTCCCACTCCCAGGAGATGCTGAAATTCAGGGATGTTGTTGTGACAACAAAAACTTCTGTAACCTCGACATCGACCCAGCAATCACTCCACCTCCAGTATCTAACTTCACTGAACCACCAATTGCTTGCTATTCCGGACTCGTTATTAATAACGTGAGCATTCTTCCAGCTAAGTACGTTTCCTGCCAAGGAGAATGCGCTTCTATCGAAATCGATACTATCATTGGACAAGTCCGCCATTCTGCTGCTCTGTACACATGTGATCCATCCACCGTTTGCCAGAGCTTAAATGTCTCTAACACTTGTGCATCCCTTGATGTAGGAGTTAAAGGATGCTGTTGTAACTCTGATGTTTGTATCGACCCTACCAAGAACAAGGTAGATCAGAAAACAATTCACACGAGAAAAGTAATACTTATTTTAGTCTCCTGATGCCCCTCTCACGTGTTACGTTGGAGTCTACGCTGCTTACAACAATTTCTCCGTTGGAGCTGATGTGAGTCAAAATAGTATACAAAATTTTCAATAAATATTCCGTAATTTAGGTTGTTTGTGCCGGCAAATGTGCTTCCCTCGAGACCATCATCCAAAACAATAAGGTCAAGTCTTACCACTGTGTCCAGCCAGCTGTTTGTTCCACTCTCGCTCTCGACAATAGTTGTAACACCATCCGTACTGACCGAGACGTAACTGGATGCTGTTGTGACAACGGAAACAACTGTAACGCCCTCAACGAGCCAGTCTCTAGTAACTTCAACGGAACAACTCCCGGAAATACCATCGCTTGCTGGTCTGGTCTCTACCTTAATGGAAATCCACTTGCTAAGCCAGCGTAAGATTATGAGAACATTTTTTTTTTCAAAAAACCGTCCCTTATTCCAGATACACTAGTTGTACTGGAGACTGTGCCGTCATTCAGTTCAACACAACTGCTGTTGGTAACACTACCAACTCTTTGACTTTGTACACTTGTGATCCCGTCACTGTCTGCAACAGTCTTAATCTCAAGAACGCCTGCAACACTGTCGATTCTCTCCCAGGAATCACTGGATGTTGTTGTGATTCAGATGCTTGCGTAGATGGTTCTTCTATTTATCCAAAGGTAAAACAGTGTTGAAAAGCAAACATGTATAAAATCATATTTCAGACGAAGAACGCAGCTACCATGTTAAACGCTTTCTCCGCAGTATTCTTAGCTATTGTATATATGATGCTGCGATGCTAGATTTGATACTTCGCTATATTTTTTTATTCGTTGAGATAATATTTATCTTCAGAGACTCTCAGATGCATTTATATTTGTTTTCTTTCAAGAAATAAACTTTCAAAAACTTTAATATCTCTATATGGTTAGTCAAAAAAGCAAATAACAACAACATCAACAACAACGGAAAACAATAAGAAATTTCAACAAAGTATTAAACCGATGCTGGTTGGTTAACCACCCATTCGGCATTCAGTAAATTCTCAATCGCATGGATTCTCTCTTGAGCACGAGCCTCCATCTCTACTAGAGGTTTCAAAACTTCGCATATCTGATTAATGGAAGAATACAAAAACTTTATTTGATCAATAAACTCACGATCGTGCCGGTTAGGTCAGCTTGAATTTTGAAAGTTATTGCATTAGTTTGGTTGCTGAGGTTATCTTTAATAGCTGTCACCACAATGATATATATTTCAGCTAAGAAAACTCTTTCCCACCGAGTTAGATGAGGTAACTAAGAATCATTCTTTTTTTGATTACTTCCTTAATCAAACTTACATTTATTGCTGTTACAATCCAGGAGTGTAAGTTCTGTCGGATAAACAGATCTTGTGCGGAAGATGGGATATTCGCACAAGCCTGAAGATTAGATACATCAGAGCTCAAACAGTGCCTTGACAAACCTTGAAAATTTGAAGAATGTACTTTCGTGCAGTTTGATCACATATGCAAGAACTAAACAATCCTTGAAGTAGCTTTATGCCAGATCTTAAAGAACGCATTGAATCTAAGGGAGAGATCACCAGGTTACCTGTTTTGTAGAGTGTTATAATCCGCTGAATCTAATATTGCTTCATTGAGATAACCTAGTACCCACTCCCGTTCAACCTTGTATTTCTCTGGACTAGTTGAAAGCAACAGCTTATAAAATTCCGGCACCTTCAAACGATAATCGATAAACGATTTTCAAAAAAAGTTACCGTATCCAGATCAATCTTGGGCTTCAAACAAAGAAAAGACAAAACGGAGGTATAAACATCATTGTCTGGATATAGAACAAGCTTGCACACTTTGGCTAAAAAATGACTGATAACTGAAAAAAAGGAATAAAAAAACATAGATTTCATCGTTTTCTTACTATGCACAGTGCGTACTCCAATGTCGTCAAAGCTCTGCTTGAATTGCCTCAGAATATAAACAAATATGGGTCTTTCAGGAAAATTTTTCTCGACCTCTGATTCTTGAACTTGCTGTGAAATTCACTACTCCGATAAGCTAAGAATTTCCTTACTAACCAGTAAAATATTGAGAAACTTTTGAAGACTGTAATACGCTAGCTTTCGTACATCGGAGTCTAGATGACTAGTAGCAGCAAACATCACTGATAAGCAATTGGATTCGATGAATTTTCGACAATCGATCTAAGCCATTCGAATATAACTTTCATAGAAATTAAACTCTTACATCTGTTCCAACATGCTCAATATTAGCCATCAGCTGTAAAATGAAACGGACATCGTAGATGTCTTTCCGTTCGGGAAGTGAACAAAATCTAACCGTCCTCCACATAAGAGAAGGGTCGATATAGTCAAGAATCTAAAAATATGACTGTAAGGTTTGAGTAATGAACCATATGGAAACTTCAGATGTCGCTATTTTATGAAGTGTACTACCAAGATTTTCAAGGTTTTCATAGTGCTCTTTGCTTTTTTCTCCCCAAACTAGCGGGAACATAGGGCTACAAAGAAAAATTTAAAACAAAGATTTCGTTCACAATATTACCTCAAATTAACCTCATGAACGCGTTCCAAGCAAGTTAGAATATCGTAGATCAATCTATCTTTGTCAGACAAAGTTGCGGTATATTCTATTAAGAACTTTGCAACAAATTTGAAGTTATTCAAAGCCTCGATTCCTTCCTGCAAAAGAAGTATTGGAAAAAAAATGGATGGGTGAAAGTCGAGCAACCGCACTCTTGTAATGACTCAATAAAAATGAAAAAACTTGACGTAGTCACGATTACGCTCAAGCTTGATTTGCATAATTGTGTTAAACTAACCGTGTCTCTGTTGTCTTTCAGAAAATTGTTTACACGCTCAAGTAACTCAAACTCTAGTGTGGTGGCATTCAAAACTTTGGAAACTAGTTTTTTGGCACCTAGTAAAAGGTTGAGCTTATAAAACATAATAAACAAAGAAACCTTTCTCAATCTTATGTAGCGATTGCTCTCCTGAACTAACTTCATCTATCTTTCTTTTCATCTGTAATTTATAAGAACGTGTACGGAAACAGCATAAAGTAAAGTATTCCAATGGATATCCCTATTTGGTTATAAGAAGATAACACAAGAGTTGTCATATTACAACAAATGAAAGTACAAGAATAGCATGATAAAACCACAAACACAATATTTCGAAATTGGAAAGTATAGCAATAGTGGCTGTACGAATTATCACAATGAACCAGTATAATTATGAGTTACGAGTGATTTTAAGAGGAATGGTTACTGTTAGTTAAAGCCAACATTGAGATAGAGATTCTTCAGAAATCTACATCATCCCAGAAGTTTGCAGGTTCTACGTTTTCAACGTTCTCCTCTGTGGTTGTTTCTACAATTTCTTGAACTATACTGACGTCATGATCAGCATTATCTTCCGTCTATAAAAAAATATAATTTAATCCAACTACATAAGCCACAAACGATTATTCCTTTGAAAGCATCTTCCAATTTTCCTTTGTCTTCTGATGCAAAGATAGTTTCATATCTTTTGAGAGATCTATAAGTTTAAATTTAAACTCTGATCTTCATTAACAACTCACTTCCTTCTGGCCACTAGTTTTGGCCGACTATCAAGTTTCAACAAACTGTTCAGTCTAAGACTGCTCAACCGAGGTTCATACCTGAACGTGTCATAATTGGTTTTGTACCAATATAATAACTTACACTTGCTTCCTCACAAACTCCTCGGTACTTCTCTCAAAATAAGACAAGGAGTGACTAGATAAATCAGATGTTGATCCACGCCTCCCATCATCGTCAGTTGATCCTATACTAGACACTGACTCCGCATAATCCCAACTACAAAGCTCCAATAGCTCTTCCATGCGCTTACTATCATCTCCCATATCATCGCAATTACTATATATATATACATATGAGATATGAAGCTAACAAGGAGGTTTCAACGAACAAAGCTTGAGCGATAGATCCCCATTGGGTTCCACTTCGCAAGAGGAAATCAGAGGTGGAACATATCAATTCAGTTCTAACTTCAGTACCCGAAGCTTCTACAAACTTCACGCTCTGCAACAAAGAATTAAACATTCATATAATTTTAAAAAATTGTAAACCTTCCTGCTATCGGTAGCCATTGTGGGAAGGGCAGATGAGCTGGGCTCACCACCAAACATTCAACGAGTTCTGAACTGAACCAACACTGACTGTCAAATTTATATTCTCAAGATGTACAAGCTGGGTATAACCAAGTAATTCATCTTCTTGAAGCACTCATAAAACGATTTATTTTGTTTTCAGTTATTTACAATCGGACTAGAGATATTTATAGATACACCAAATATAGACTTATTAATTATCTTGTAAGTATCACACTGAGAGTAGATGGGATTTGAAGAAATACACGATTTATACGTTGTGACACGTAGGCAATGAAGTTGAGTTTGAAGTCGTTAGGCAGTTAACGAATGGCACGAAGATACTTCTGAAAAATGAAAAATAGAATTAGAAATCAAACATTCGGGGTAAAATCAAGAAACACAGGAGTGCGCACACTAAACGTTAAAAGCAGTGTTAGGGTTACAGAAGAGAAAAATAACAAAATCACGCACGCAAACCTCACCCATTTAGTTAAACAGGATGTACTGAAATACAAAATTTTAAATTGTTAAATGGGTGATAATTAATTATTTGATTGGCTAGTGAATCGGAGGACATGCTACAACAAGAATTCTACCAAAATATCCCCGTCACTTGCCTGCATGAACATTCCGAAGACAATTGAGAGAACAATTACCGGCAAGCGTCCAATCCATCCAACGAAACCGGGCATGCCGATTCGTTTACCGGTGAGCATCTTCAGATTGTTAAGTTTCTTCTCTGACATCGGTGGATAACGTGCCCTATATGCGATCTAATTTGACGAATTGTTCATCTTATCTTACGCTTGCAAGGCTTCTCCGAAGAAACCGCGTTTCAACACAGACTTCTCATGAGAGAAAGTATCGAATCCGTATTTACCACGGTATCTTCCCATTCCGGAAGTTCCTACGCCACCAAAAGGCAGAGTGTCAACTTCAAGAGAACAAGTTTTGCTCTAGTAATTCCTTCAAGAACGAACCTGTAATATGCATGATGACATCATTGATGGTAACTCCTCCACTGCTTGTTTCTGAATACAATCTCTTAGCCTTGGCCTCGTTGGAGGTGAAAATATAAGCGGCTAAAGGTTTTTCGCCCTTATTAATAAAGTCAATAGCTTCACTCAAGTCTTTGACAGTAACAACAGGAAGCACAGGTCCAAAAATCTGAAAGAACAAATATCAAGCTATAGAGTAGTCCAAGCTACTGACTTCATCCTGCATGAAAGGATCGTCTACATGGACATCAAGAATCGTAGGGGGAATGAAAAGATCATCACGATCTCGTTCACCGCCACTGAACAAAACCGTTCCCTTGGTTTGTTCAAGAAGCGAAGAGATACGACTGAAAGATAATAAGTATGAACTGCAATTGCAGCATTTTCTACTCGTAATGGCGTTGACTGATGATTCGAGAGTAATCTTTGCTTTCCTTCATTTCACTGCCATAAAATTCTTTTAAGTATTTACGGAATCCTTCAATCAACTGAAATTGCTCAATCCGATTATTTTCCAAGCTGTTAGCCTACTACCTTCGGTTTCGATTTCTCCGAAACGAGAATATAATCAGGTGCCAAACATGTTTGACCACAGTTCATCCATTTTCCCCAGGCGATTCGACGTGCGCTGATGTCCAAGTCAACATCGTCTTCGACGATAACAGGGCTGAAAGATCTATGTAAATTTAGAAGGTCAAACATTCAATACCATTTGCCACCTAATTCCAATGTGACTGGAGTCAAGTGTTTGGCGGCAGCAGCCATAATGATCTTCGCTACAGGTGGACATCCAGTGTAGAAAATATGATCGAATCTTTCTTTCAACAACTCTGTTGTTTCAGTAACCCCTCCATTCACCACACTAATGTACTCCTGTTACGATGAGTACTATTGAAATCGTTAAACCAATTATACATACGGCTGGGAAATACTTTGCGAACAATTCTTCAATAGCAGCAGCGGTGTTACTAGAAACTTCAGATGGCTTGAGAATTACAGTGTTTCCTATAGTTAAATTTATAATTGAATAACGTGAGAGTCTCCAAAATACCAGCAGCAATAGCAGGAACTAAAGGAAGTGTTAGCATGGCTACTGGGTAGTTCCATGGTGAGATGATCAGAACTACTCCGAGAGGATCCTTGACAATCATAGGCTGATCGAGAGCATTGACAACAGTCTTATCAACCTTAAATAATAAAACAGAAGACTTCTCTTTAGAGAATTCAAATTTACATAAGTAGGTTGAGCCCATTCTTTGAGATTGGCTATTGTATAATCGATCTCTTGAATGGTGTTGCTGATCTCCAAGAAAAACGTGTTCGCAGGAAGCTGAAGTAATAAGTAGAAACAAAACCAATTGATAAAGTTAATCTACTCTTCTATGATCCTTATAAACAGCATCGCAAAGCTGTTCAGTGTTGTCTTCGACAAGTTTGCGCAAAGTTTGTAGGTTAGAAATACGTTCTTGGATGCTCTTGGTTTTACCAGTGTTGAAATAAGCCCGTTGTTTCTCAACAACCTTAAATAATATTAAAATTTAAAAAAAAAGAAGTGAAACTAACGCTGTGGAAGCTCATGGCTGTCTCTGATGCAAGAAATAATTGAGAAGAAATAGTAAATGAGGACCTGAAGTGACACGAACTTGAAAACACGATAAGACAAGAATGTAGTATATTCTTTGCTGATAACACTTAAGACACATATCAAATGAAAAAAAGTTGAAGGTTGTGATTTTTGCTGTTTAACGAAACATATGAGAGAATGGACATGGTAAAGAAAGTCATTGTCACAAACTTTAGAAGGACGATGAGAAGGAGGAGTGTCTATTTATCTGATCAAGACAATGGAATGACAAAAACCATCTAAAGAAGACGTGGTCTCCAAACTGTTGCAGTAATTACTCATATACAAAGATTTAGATAAGTACGGCTCTGTTGCCTGGAAACAATTTATTTTGTTCGCAATTAGAAGAGTGAAGTACGTCCTAATGAGGTGTTTCAAAAATGAAGAATGAAGTTATGTTACTTTCACAAAAGGAAATCGAGGAGAAGCATGACGCAAATAAGCATAAACAAGGTCGACACCAACTGTGAAAACACAAAAGTCGCCCTAAGTTGAAAAAAGTGTTCCAACAACCCCATCAAAAAGGACAAAACAAGCGTCAGTATCTTCAAATTTTCAAAAGGACTAGATAGTGCGCTCTATTGCGAACAGTGATTCAGGGAGATTTTAGACCTTTAACAGCTCTTGAATGTTATATTAATTAGACCGAATTTAACCTTTTTTTGGCTTGTTTTTAAGATGAAAAATTTGAATAATTTTCCCGAAAAGTTCGGCTAAGTCCTTCTTCATCGGATGACATATTGATTTTTCTGTCTTTGCTCAGTTTTGTGCTTAAATCGAAAGAGATATGTTGATGCAATTTTTATAATTTAGGTTTTTGGTTGGTTCCGGTCTACTCAACTTCGGCTAATTGGTTAGTATAGTTTTCAAAGTTATTTTAAAGGTTTTTTTTAATGACCATATGCTTGTTTCTTTATCATGACACTCGGTATTACCTCTAGTTGTTTCGTTAACCACTAAACTTTGATAAAACCTGAATGGTCCTTCTCGTATTATCGACGTTGTTCCAGGAAATGAGTACCCCAGCTTCTGGTGCCGGTACCGAGGATGCCGCTGATCGCAATGTTGAGATGTGGAAGATCAAGAAGCTTATCAAAAGCTTGGAACTTGCAAGGGGGTAAGCTAGTCGTGGAACTAGTTTTGAAATATTGCAACATCTTTTTAGTAATGGAACATCTATGATCTCTCTGATTATTCCTCCTCGTGATCAGATTGCCCGAGTACAGAAAATGCTTGCTGATGAATATGGAACAGCTTCTAACATCAAATCTCGTGTCAACAGATTGTCAGTTCTGGGAGCCATTACATCAGTACAGGGACGTTTAAAGTTATACAATAAAGGTTTGCTTCCTGAGCTCGTAACTTCTAACTTCTTGTAGTATCTTATAGTTCCTCCAAATGGTCTTGTTATTTATTGTGGTACCATCGTAACTGAGGAAGGAAAAGAAAAGAAAGTTAACATTGATTTTGAGCCTTTCAAACCTATCAACACTTCATTATATCTCTGTGATAATAAATTCCACACTGAAGCTTTACAAGGTTATAGAACCATCTTCAAGCCCAAATTCATTTTTTTATTTAGGATTATTGGCTGATGATAACAAGTTTGGTTTCATCATTATGGATGGTAACGGATGCTTGTTCGGTACTTTACAAGGAAACACTAGGGAAGTTCTTCACAAATTCACTGTCGATTTGCCTAAGAAGCACGGTATGATCTCCACCTAATGCTTGTTCACGTTCTTTTCAACAGGTAGAGGAGGTCAGTCTGCTCTTCGTTTCGCCCGTCTTAGAATGGAAAAAAGACACAACTATGTGAGAAAAGTAGCTGAATGTGCAGTTGAAATGTTCATCAAGAACGATAAGGTGAGAAGGGTTCGTCACTGTTTATCATTTAAGTAATGCTATAGGTTACTGTCGCTGGTTTGATTCTGGCTGGTAGTGCGGATTTCAAGACAGAGTTGGGACAATCTGATATGTTCGATCAAGTTCGTATCTGTTTAATTTTGTTCTAATAATGTTCTTTATTCAGAGGTTGCAAGCCAAAATGATCAAAACTGTAGATATCTCATACGGAGGAGAAAACGGATTCAACCAGGTGAGTATCTTCCAGAATTTGTTAGTAATGTTCAATGTTCTATAGGCTATTGAATTATCCGCAGACGCTTTGGCTAACGTTAAGTTCATCCAAGAGAAGAAACTTATTGGAGGTTATTTCGATGAAATTAGTCAGGTACGTCAGTTTGATCTATCTATTCACGCAATTTGCTTTTAAGGATACCGGTAAATATGTGTTCGGTGTTCGAGATACTCTTCAAGGCCTTGAAATGGGAGCAGTTGAAACTCTCATCTGTTGGGAAAATTTGGATATCGTACGTTATAAGCTTGTGAACGCTAATGGAGGTAATAATGATGTATTTTCGTGTAACCTTCGTTTCATTGCAGAAGAGAAAGTAGTCAACCTTAGATTGGATGAAGAGAAAGACAAATCCCACTTCACTGACAAGGAAACTGGACAAGATTTGGAAATTATTGAAACTATGCCCTTATTAGAATGGTTCGCCAACAACTACAAGGCAAGTTGAACCATATCATATCAATATGGATGAACTTTTCAGACCTTCGGAGCTACTCTTGAAATCGTCACTGACAAATCTCAGGAGGGAGCCCAATTTGTCCGAGGTTTCGGAGGAATCGGAGGTCTGCTCCGTTATAGAGTAGACATAGCAGCTATTGATCTGGCTGACGAGCTCGATGACATCGACCTCGATGACTATTGACCGCGTCCGGTGGCTGGCAGTGATCTATCCATTCTTCCTGTTTCAACTTTGTAATTCTCTTTTTTGGTAATTTTTTTTGTTGTCCGTCCCCGCAATTCCATAAACTATCAACCTCATTAATGATTGCCAGCCGGCCGCCGAGCGTCGTCTTCGTATTGTCAGATTGTCGTTCTGCTCAGCGTTCAGACGCTCAGAACGACGCGCATGGATTGAATCATGTGCACCCTACGATTACGGACGATTTTTATGGGTATGGTTGGAGGTATGTTTGTGCATAGCTCCTGATGGCTGACATTTCAAGTACTTCCTGCTCCGTTCTGAGTGTAACCTTTAATTTATAGATTTTTTAAGCATCTCCTATCTTTGTTGATTGTTTCAATGTTTCTTTGTTATTGTAATGCTGTTGGTGAGGGATTGATAGTTTAATATAGGTTTTGCTGAGACATACTTTGTTATGTTTTCTTTTTGTCTGGCTGGTTTTCGTCAAATTGATTGAAGTTAAGACACTAAAGTGCTAATTGTGATTGCCATTTGCGGCTTTGATTTTCCTGATTTTCTCGACCCCTCATTGAAAGTCTGGTATTTCAAACACCGCCTTTGATCGCAACTTGTGTTTTCAATGGGGTTCCTCGTTTTCTTCTTTTATTTCCTTTAGTAACAATATGGCAGCAGCCATATTGGCTGCTGTTTCCTTCATATTTCTATCTGGGTCATTATTTCGGTTATGATTAAGATATTACTAGATGTTCTTTCCATCTTTCTATAAATTGTTGAAGAGACTTTGTCAGATGGCATTATGTTATCAGTTGAATCAACTGCACTCTATCTTATCAATTACCTTGGGAATTCATTCTCAGATATTAACACACTTTTAGAAGCAATGGTCGAGTTAAACACCACAATTTGTGCTACAGCCGCTGTTGTCGTTGTTTCTAGCGTTGCTCTTTACTTCTTCTTTAAGAAGTCTTCATGCTGTAGCAAGGTTTGGTTGCCATTATTGTGGTTTTTCGAAGAATCGATTCTAGCGAGCTGTTACATTACTCGACGAAACTGAAAAGTATTCATTGAAACTCATTGAGAAAGTCAATGTAAGGTCGTTTTTCCGGTTTTTCATGAAAACTCTATTATAGGTTAGTCATGATACTAGGAAGTTTAAGTTTGCTCTTCCATCCAAACACCATATACTAGGTCTACCAGTTGGACAACACATTTACCTTTCAGCTAAAGTAACTCATAAACTGCGAAACTGAGAATAACAAATTTCTTGAAGGTGGATGGAAAGCTTGTTGTGCGTCCATACACACCAATTTCTAGTGATGATGATCTCGGCTTTGTTGAACTTATGATCAAGGTAACCTCAGTTTCACTACCGGAAACGTTGTACTTTTTCAAGGTTTATTTCCGTGATGTTAATCCTAAATTCCCAGAAGGAGGAAAGATGAGTCAATACTTAGAAAACATGAAGATTGGAGAAAGCGTAGGTTTATTTAGTTCATTTGCCTGCTTTATGCAAAATCTCACGTACGTCTCACGCCACTCATCGTTTGAGATTGTATGATCACTTTTCTGTTCCACAGAGCGGTTGCATTCCCTATTCGTTAGTAACACTTTTCCCCTACATTTCTGAATTTTAGATCGATTTCCGTGGTCCATCTGGATTAATTACTTATAAAGGCAATGGAAAGTTTGCCATTAAAGCAGACAAGAAGGCTGCCGCTGTACCTAGACATTTTAAGAAAATCTCGATGATTGCCGGGGGTACAGGAATCACCCCAATGCTTCAGGTTTTGTACACCGACTTTCCAATTTTCATTCTTTTTTTTTTTAGATTATTGCTGATATTTTAAAGCACAGCCTAGACAACACTCAAATCAAACTTCTTTTTGCTAATCAGTCCGAGGAAGATATTCTCTGCAGGTATGAGATCTAAGAGTTCTACAAACTCAAACTTGTATTTGCTCTAGAGATGAATTGGAACAGTTAGTTGAAGCTCATCCTGATCAGTTACACGTATGGTACACAGTTGACCGACCACCAGCAAACTGGAAGTACTCCAGTGGATTTATCAATGATAAAATGATTGAGGTAATCGATAACATCAAAAACGTAATGAACGGTTTTTCCTTCAGGAATACCTTTTCGCCCCATCAGATGACGGCGCTGTTCTTCTTTGCGGTCCTCCACCAATGATAAACTTTGCTTGTACACCAAATCTTGATAAGCTAGCCTATGACCCTGCCAATAGATTCACTTTTTAGATTGTAAATCTAGAAATTTATTATATTAAAGTCTGTTTTAAGAGATCAGAAGCAATTATGCTAACAGAGGTAATAATAGAGCACAAGGTATAACGGATATAGTTCCATATAAAGTAAGTGATATGTGTGAGTGAGAGGTGATCGTGCATTTTGAGCTATATACAGGAGGAATCAGACTTCAGTGTCTTTATCCAAAAGAGATTGGTGTTCTTCATCGTTCACGTCAGGTTTCACCACTGCCCCGTACAACTCATCCTCCATTTCGCGCTTACGCATCATCAAAACTCGGGCTTGTTGTTGTCTTGAATTCATACATTATCATGATCACACAGCGATAGGACTTACTGTTTCGGTATGTACGTCATTTTCTCAAGAAGGTCTTGAGCCATCATGCTGTTTTCTATGTTTGCTCCAAGAGCTTTCCTCATTCTCAGCGCATTCTCATCTTGGTTTCGTTTTGCTTGTTCAGCAACTTAAAACATATTGATGTTCTGCATTAGTTGTGTAGGTACTTATACATACCGGAAAGGGGTGGTGGAGGCCAATAAACTGGTTGTTGTTCTTGAATTCCCGGTAAGGAGTTGGAGCGTTTTAACTTATTTTCTATTCCGAAGAAAGAAACCCACAGTGCTTGAACCAGGTCTGTTCCAAAAATAACCTAAAGGTGAAAGATCATGCCATATGAACTCAAGATAAGAATGTGTACTCCTGATTGTAAAGTAAGCATCCGTATTACAAAAACGCCATCTGTTTTAAGAAAACTGTCGATAAACTTCTCAACATCTCCAGCAGATTCTATAAAATATATTTTAATTTGAAAGCATGTATTCCAAACCAATAGGATCGAAAGGCATTTCGCTCATTTCCAAATGCCTATTGATGAACCGTTGGTTAGGATATGGAATCAAAGATACGAATAACCAATACAAGAATGATCCGGCGGTGAATACCACAAGCATGAGGTACCTAGAATAGCTAGTTGAAGCTTTTCAGAGTAATATTCTCTCACCAGAACCAAAGAAAGATGAATATCTTCTCATTGAATATATTTATAACTAACACGCATTGTATTGTATGCTCTTGAACGTTACCCATAACACGAACCTTGAACAGAATGAATGAAACTAAATTTTGTAGCACGCTTACATCAAAATCACATAAAGAGACACGGGGGAAAACACCAGATTGCTGCCAAGTTGTACCGTTGACTAGATCCCAAACAGCTCCTAATCCGTACATATAATACTTGTCAGTTTCTAAGAACCTAAATAAACTTCTTCAGAGGTTATTAAAATAATCGAACACTCACTTGTTCATCAGTAGAAGTTGTAAACATACATTAGCTAAGTAAAAGAACTTGGTAAACAGATACATAGACGTTACAAAAAATGCAGAATAAGGTAAATTGAATAACCAGAAGAATTTATGTGGACGAATTTGCTTTCTGTGTAGACGACGATGGAACCTCAAAGCTCCCTGAACGAACTATTTTTCAAAGTTCTCAATAATTGTCACACCTGCAGATGTACTGTTAACGACTTGATATTCGCTCTCTTAATGTCTGGTTTGATATTGTTGGGATCGGAAGACAAGCGAACAACTTCATGAATTTTTATCCCTGAATATAACTCTTCAAATTGAGTGATAGAGGTAGAGAGGAACCTGAATGTCCAGCCATGTACTTCCAAATCAAGCTGGGCAGTCGGAAACATGCAGCGGAAATCAGAAGGAAAAAAGGAACCCACTGAACAAAAACTTAAAGTACTTGTTATAGTCAAATAACTACCTGATAATAACTGATCTTTCGCTGTCTTTTGTAAGCCCCATCTAACCCTGCCACTGCCTGGCCCATAGGGATAAAATACGTATCCTGCGACCAGCAGTAATTTTCTGCATACTGAAAGAAATAATAAAAAAAAGTAAGTTAGCACGAGTTACCTGCTCCCAAGAGCTAGTGAAAGTATCAGGCACCAAACATTCTATAGGTTTACCACCGAATTGCTGAAAATAACATTTGAGCGTTTAGTTTACGTGAAAAGCATATCTCGTGATTCACGTGAAAAGCATTCCCCGTGATTTACGTGGAAGCGCTATCATTTATTTTCGAGAAAAAGGTAAAGCGGTTGTTTAATACGAGAAATGAAGCGATATCTCGTGAGGTGGATTCGGTCAGAAAATTTTCAACAGACGCTGGGAACGGTTGCAAAGTTAATTAGCACAAAACAACGGAACGATTCGAAAAAGTTTCCGATTAAGTTAGAAACGAACGTTGAAACATACAATTCTTAATTAATTTAGAAACTAACCTTGAAGCTAACTAGAACAGATAATCCGATGAGAATATTACAAGTGAAGTAGGAATGAAGTCTGTCAACAAAATCTCGATCATCTGACCCCGCTACATAACGTAGCATAGACAGTACGGCTGCCAACACCATTTCGAATCTGAATTGACAGGTTTACTCATTTTTGTATAATATATACTCACCACTACTATACTAATCTCTAAATAGACATGTATTAAAAACAAAGCGAACAGACGGAGCTTTCAGTTATTTCAGTAATCAGTGTTCGTACATACTGAAAATGAAGAATGAGGTGAGAGTAGCTTTCGTTTACAGAAATATAGAGAGAGAAGCCGATCAGAAAGGTTTGCGAGCATTAAACGGAACGTGACAACTTACTAAAGCGAATATATATGTAAATATGGAGGAAAATGATACGATATTTCTGAAAAAATGAGATGCAATGGTTGGAAAGAGCAAAGATATGATGACCTAGGTTACGAAGTGAGCTAATTGAATAATTACACTTGTTAAAATAGCTGAAACAATAGAAACATGATGTGAAAAGATTTTGTGAGCAAATGGAAAAAGAAATGAAACATTTTTGCATATTGAATACCGAATGATTACACATAGAAAGCTGTGGAATTTTATAACAAAGAACTCTTCAATAGTACCGAGAGCAAACATAGCAAAACAGAACAGAAGACTAGAAGCTCAAATAAGCGAAAACAGTGCGAATTATGGTTATGTTGGAACGAAAGTTGACCGACTAACATAAACAGTGTGAGAGGCTAAGAGATTTAAATAATCTTCGGGAAAATGACACCCGTGTGAGTGAAATGGTCTTCTGATAGAATTTTATTGATTGCAAACTGCGAGTTGCAAAAATAACAAGAAGATCAACAAAAAACTTTAGAAGTTTTGAAACACAAATGATAATTTCTTCCTCACTAATAAGGACTTTTGAAGTTACATGAGTCGTGTTGAAAAATTGGTTTAACTGGATTAAACTCGAGCATTCGAGTGGGAGGTAGAAAATCTTTCATGAGTGACCTGAATCCTTCAATTTGTGGCAAAAAGACAGCAGAACAAAGAACTCACCCGCAAGACACACACGTGGTAGAGAAGGCTAAAGTATTTGTCTGAAGGAAAGTCAGCAAAACAGTGATTTTATTGACGCTTCTGCAAAATTTTAATCACCACATTATGCGCGAACAAAAGATAGAAAAACCAGCTTACGTTAAGCGTGAGCTTGTAGGAGTACCCAGCATTCGGGCATTCGTGAAATGCCCGATAAGGCGGAAAACCTTATATCTGGATTCGCATAATCCCTGAAAATATACGCATATATTTGGTCAAACTTCTCTCAGCCAGAACAAAACCGTTTCGTCCCAAAGTTTTTCCTTCGGAGATCCAACTGTCAGCTGACACAAGTTGCCATATTGGATGAACATTGCCGCTTTCATCTGAGGAACGAATTCAGAATCGTTTCTCCTACCTAATTCGGCCTTGAGAAAGTAATTAATCAAAGCAATATATGTTAACAAACCTCAAGAATATATGATTGAAAACCGAAAGGCCGCAAGAAAATTCTCTGACGTGAACTTCTCAGTTCTCGTTCTTTTGACATTAAATACTTGAAAGCAGATACGAACTGTGATGTGGACTGTAACAGTAACTCGACTGAGCTGGTGAAGAATATAGACGAAGTTTACCTCTGACACATCATTCTTCACAGATTCTCGACAACTGTGCATATTATTAACAAAACTTTGGCTATGGAATGGATCATTTCTTGATATAAACTCAGCTTTAGCAGTTCCTAAACTCTGCAACAAGAGGAGGTGTAAAGACAGTTTCGAGAATGAAAACCGTCAAATACTCTTCCGCTTTCATTCTGTCTACAGCCTCGTTGAACAAAGTTAAAACATCTGGAACTTCTCCAGTCCAAAAACATCTGAACATTCAAGAAAATCGTTGAGACAAACGCACCAAACCATGTTGTAAAAAGCTAAAGCACTGGGATTGTCATTGGCTTTGTTACATACAGATTTGGCATACAGTTCGAGTTGTCTGTAAAAATGTGAGTGGATTAGATGTGTGAGGAGGGAAGTTGTTAAACAAACTCGTAAATTTTTTCGCCTTCTCTTACAGCTTCAACTGTTTGCTGAGTACTGGATAGCTCCTTACTATCGTACATAACCCGTCGTAATTTCTGAATCAGCAACATAGCTAAGCAGATGTTTTTCTTAAACGTGGAGCAGCTTCACGAAGTACACACCATTTTTGGCAAACTGCATTTGCGAAACTTGTGGAAGAACTTTGTTAGTCCTTATATTAGTGGCTGGAGCTGTGTATGAGGAGTAGGCACTTCGTTGAACAGGACGTAGAACCCTCGCTTTTCTTCCATCTGTGGACATCTGAAGAGGAGCACTGTGCGCAAGAATAAAAGCATTCAAGAACAGCAAAGAAACTGAAGAAAAGATATCCATGCGGGGAAGAACAGGACGCCATTCTCAAAACAACAATGTTTAGAATAATTTAGTTGTTTGACGATGTTGGATATTCGTCACATCAGTGAAATATTACAAGATTATAAGCCAAATAGGAAAAAAAACAATACTAGGTATTCCACAACACACAACATAACGGTTAGTGTAGTAAAAAGAAAAGATCAGTGGAAAACAACACCTGAGGCACAACAGAGTAAAAAAATCAGATCAAACTTTCTACATCACATGAAAAACTTTACAAAAGGCAACCGAACTTCTTATCCCAAGCTTCATAAGCAATCAGATCCTCTTCAACCACGGTGGGCCTTACTACTCGTGAAGCTTCTATAAAATCCTCAATATTGATTGGACGAATCTGAAACGAGTATTTACATAACGTATTGACACAAAAAAAAACATTAAATAAAGGTTTTGAGAGAGACAGTAAGAACAAAACATACGTCAGATGTGGCGACAGTTTCAATATCCATGCTGGAACTATTCTCGATATCACGTATTGGTCCCATAGCCGCTTCTGCGCAAAGTTGTCTCATATCAGCTCCGGAATATCCTATTACAATGATATACAATTTGAGGCAAGAGAGGAGTTTCGTACCTTTTGTTAACTCGGCTATTTTCTTCAAACCTTCCCCTTCTATGGAATGGCTCATTGTTTTTAAAAGATTTCTAACTATGGAAAGCCTCGCTTCATCTTCAGGTAAAGCTATATACAATCGCTTAGCGAACCGCCGACGAGCAGCTTCATCGAGCTCCTGCGGCCTGAATCAAATTTGAGAAACTAATACGGGAACAAGGAAATACCTATTCGTGGCTCCCAAAACAAGTAATCTTTCGTCACTGTTAGTCGCCACTCCATCCAATTGTACCAGAAACTCAGTTTTTATTCTCCGCGATGATTCATGCTCTGATTCAGATCGAGCAGACAAAAGACTATCAATCTTCATATGCGAATCCTTTTTTGAGAATCTTTATAAAGAATGTTACCTCGTCGATAAAAATAACACTTGGTAACTTCAGTCTTGCAACTGAGAAAAGGGCTCGTACAAGCTTCTCTCCTTCTCCAACCCATTTAGAAGTTAAAGAACTAGCCGATATATTGAAGAAAGTTGCTTTACACTGAGAGGCAACACATTTACCTGAAAAAAACTAAATGAGACGCTAAGAAGGATCAATCTCAACCTATCATAGTTTTTCCAGTTCCTGGAGGACCAAACAATAAAACTCCTTTTGGAGGAGCTCGAATGCCAGTGAAAACGTCACTAAAACTTCAAACATAAACAGAGTAACTTAATAGTCATACGGTCTCTTGAAAGGAAGAACCACAATTTCTCGTAAAGCTTTTTTCGCTCCTTCAAGACCGGCAACATCAGACCATCCTGTCTCTGTTGTTATGGACATTATCTAAGAAAATACATCAGCTTAGTTCAAAGGGAAGTTCTAACTTCCGATTCAATCAGAGAAATAATTTGTTCATCGAAGTGCTTAAGACTCGGCTCAGCTCGTAAGCCGGACACAACAGGTTCATCTTAAAAAGTATTTTTTCTGAAGAACAGTTGTTCAAACATTTAAAGCTACCTCTAGAGCTTCCGTCAACACCCATTCCCATTTGACTCAGACCTTTCTTGATCATGTTAGCTGCTGTTGAAGTGTTAGAATTGATAGAGTTAACTTTTCTAGTAATGAGAAACGTTTGTTATAACACTCATGAACACTACTTGTTTCCAAAATATCTCTTCTGCCCTGTAGATGGATGATATCCACCTGAATCACTTTGTTGAGAATCCTAAAAGTTAAGCTTGATCAGTCATTCTTTTACAATGCACAGACATCACTATTTTCGTTTGAATTTACAACTTGTTTCATCTCTTTCACAATCTTGTTTCCACTAGCCATTCGAAAATCATCCAGATTGATTGGAACTTTCCTCTCCCACCTAAGAGAGTCAAATATGAGAAGAAACATCAAGAAACGAACGGTTTTGTTTTCTTCTCTCTTTTACTATTCACAACTTCGATTGATTTCGCTATTGCTCCTAATTGACTATTTGATATGCCTTTACGTCCATCCTGAAGAGGAGAAACGATACATTTCTATTTTCTTCACACACTTACTGGATCAACTATACTATTTACAGATTTTTTAATAGAATTTAATCTAGGATCGGCACTGAAGTCGAAAGCCATGCCTTTCGTTCTATCTACCGATAGCACTCTTTTCTTTGGTGCTGGTTCAGGATCAGAGTCTTGATCATCAATTACAATCTGAGCCTTCGAACATTATATTATCTGCTTGACAGAAAAATAACCTCATCAGTAGCAGATATGTCTAAAGAAAATCCGGTGAACTCCCCGTCAGTACTTCCTTTTCTATTTTGTGACGAGAATGGCTTTATTGCATTTGTTGCAGAGGTTGGTCTCAAAACATCATGACGATTTTCCGAACTATTTCGGGATACTGGGCATGGAGGAGGCATTCACCTAACAAACAAATTCATTCCCTCATGCAATTTCATTTTTCTTATAATATTTCCTTTGGAAAAAACCAAAAAGCTAAGAGATGTGATATCCACAACTTTATTGGAATGCAAAGAAGGAATACGAAATACTACTGAATCTACATTCACTTGAATGGTCCTCTCTTAGATCTTCTTAGGCTTTCCAGCATCCCAAGCAGTGACCTGAATTATAACCCTCTGATAACTATCACTTAATCTATAATACCTTGAGGGTGGCATCACCGACAACCTTCTTGGTGGTTCCAGCCTTGAGGCTGTTGCGGGTGACCTGAACAGAACAGTATTCAAAAAACTCAGAAAATAAAAAAAACAAGAATAACATGAAGTTAAAACTAACCAGAGCGGCGATCTGTGAGAAACGGACGTAGTTAAGTCCAGCAGCTCTCCAAGCAACCATGTTCAAATCTGAAACGCACTTTGAAATTCATAAATTAATCCGGATCGAAACATCATCTCGAAAAAAAAGGATATCAAACATCAAAAAAAATAATGTTTATAAACAATATTATACAATCAAACAGTTTAAAACAGTCGAATAAGTTTATACAGCGCAATCTGCCAAGAGATGAAAGAGAGAATTAACATAGAATTCGCGTCAGGACCATTTGTTTTATTAGTCCTTTAATAAATGAGAGTATGGGTGCCACACACCGTTTATCTTGATTTCTTTGACTGTTTCCGGATTAGAGCATATCTGTAAAGTTTTTTTTGATAAGGCTGCAGCTTTGTTTTGAGTTACCCTTCAGCTTCTGAAGGCAGTATGTTTTGATTCATTCTATAAACAAATCATGAGAAATAATAAGAGAAATATTATTTACTTGGACGAGGCATACTCTATGTAGCTGAGCAAATCTTTATTGATAGTTTGTTCTCTATAGATAAGATGCATGTTATCGTCCTGAAATAGAGACACAAGAAGTAATATCTGGCTGGAGGAATAAATCGGAGATTGAAAAGCTCAGATTTGATAGCTTGATCAAGGTGCAAACTACAAAGTGAAAAACAAGAACATACCTCATTCGCTTCCTCATATGAAACGACGGAAATTATAAAATAGATGAAAGATGGCAAAAAAATCACCAAACAAATAGCGAGTTTGGTTAGCGGTTCCATTGTTGTATGTAAGCCTTACATGTAGATTCTAAGCCTGTCATTTCTGGAAAGCTGTCATCTTCAGATTTAAGTATAATATTTCCAATTTGTTCAAAGTATCATCCAATGTTTTTCAAAAGATTTTGTTTTGAATTGAAACTTTCCAAAACGATTTGCAGAAATCGAAGGAAGTCATTTTGATTTTGAAAAGGCGTTGATCGGTTGTTCCTTTCTTACTTCCCAATCAACAAATCGTCTTCGATGGGAAAAAGAATTTATGCGTACTCACTAATGTCTTTTTTTTCGTATAAATTTGTTCTCATAAATATTAATAAAATTTCAAAATGTAAAGAGTAAGTATCAGAGGGTCGATTGCAGTCGTTGCTCCAACGTAATGGTTCCAGAAGGCGAGAAGGGAGGATGACACCGTCTTTGTTTTCAGGTGTGCTAAGCCAATACGATTGGAAGGCATAATCCATTTCTGGAAAACGGAAAAAACTCTGAATTGAGTAGATGATGGTAGAAATAGAAAAGTCATATGTCTGGAAGTGACAACATTATGTTGATATTTTGATTCAATAAGTCGTCCTAGTCTAGTTCAAAACAAGACATCCGTTGAAAAGACAAATTTAGAAGTTCAGATTCACGTGCACAGTGTTTCGTTCTTCCTGAATGATGTTGGTTTAGACTGAGATGTGCGGTTGTTTGAAATAAGACATCAACGTTAGTGCTTCGCTCCCGAAAAACAACAACTCGAAGATTGTAATTGATTTTGTTATATTTACTTGAAGATGTCTAACATTTTCCAAATGAGCTGATAGGAGGAAACAAATTTTCTTCCCGTAAGCCGGAAATATAATGCAACCGTTCTGCTAGCCGCAGTTCCCATGCGCTCGTTTGTTGGATCTTTGATTAACTAGAAGACATACAACCCATTGTTCTGATAAAAATCTTAACTGCATTAGGTTTCTGTTTGAAAATGCTTTCTGCGAGCCAAGTAATTTAAAACATAAAATCTAAATTGAATTTTTTTTTATGTCTGTCATTATTCTGACGTAAAACCAACCAATTGTCTAATGAACTCAGTTTTGAATGAAGATACTCGCCGCCTTCGGCGTTAATTTGAATACAGCTTGGTTGGCTCTCAGAATTTCAACGCTATAGCGCAGTTATCTTAAGAGCGATTATGAGACTATTTATAGAAAGCACAAAGGACATACTCCTCTTAGCTAAATGATATCGCTGTTGTTCTCAATACCGTGTTGCTGTTGCTATATTAGGCCCTTTCTTGGTTCTCAGACTACGATACTATCCGAACAAAAGTTTTTTCTTCATTAATTAATGAATAATCCTTGAATGAGAAATTAACAGGAGTGGGCGGAGCCACGCAGCTTAATACCTTATTCATTTTCCACCTTCTTTTAAGAAAATATCCGCCCACCTTTGTATATTCGCGGTTTCGTCATTTCTCATGCGTGAGTTCACGAAGATTCGTTGAATTATAGTCTTTTAGTTGTTATAAACTTTACTTTTCGGATCTTTTCTTATCCTCAGGCAACACTTTTCGGCTATAAAGTACGGCTCCGCCTATCTTATGCCTTGAGGCGGAGTGATGTGCATAGTGGTCTCACTCTCTGTCCTTTCATTTTCTACGTGTCGTCATGTCAAAGCCATGTTGTTTCCTTCATTTTAAAATTCTTGCCATTTTAAATTCTGAGAGCAAAGGTTTCACATGACCAATCAGAAGAGCCTCATTTGAATATTGCTTCACCGTTATTTAAAAGGTTACTCACGTACGGTACTTTTAGGTAATGCGTTTCGTTCTTCTGATCTTGGTTCTTCTTGGTGTTCTCACCTCTACTGCTTCAGCTCTTTTCCGAGCCAACCAAATGGTATGTTGTCGAAATTGCATTTTGTTTTGAAATTATTGCGATCTCAACTATGTAACAAAGATGAATTTGTTGCAGGGAATCCCTACAGTCAACATGGATTCCGGAGACATCGAATGGGTAGCCATACCCCGCGATGATTCGTACAATGGAAGGTTTCGACGATTCTATCCCTACGCTTGAAGCTCGTTGATATATATTTGCTTTTTTTTGAGCCAAAGAGGAACTTAATAATGAATGAAATATTCTTAAAATCTTTTTTGTTTCAATAAAGCTTCTGCGAATAATTTTTCTTCTTTCGGCAATAATGAAAAAATAAGAACACAAAGACCAAGCACATGTCTTGAGATACTTCTTCGGGTAACAAAGTAAGCAAACTGCTTTCATATTTCTCAGTTTTATTGAAGAAGTGAAAATAAAAAAAATACAATGATCATTCATCTAGAACAACAAACCCGTGCCAAGGACGAAGGACTTCGATCACTTTTATAATATGTAGAATGCACTCCTATTCAGTTATCGTCTTCCAAAAACACCTCCTAGCCCTGTCATCATTAGACCTTCAGCCGCTCCTTTCCAGAACTTCTTTATTGGTCCATCTGGTCTCTCCATCCGAGGACCATACGGAACACCATAACTTGGCATTGCCATGTACGGCTGAACTGGAGGACTCATAGCTCCATAATAGGCAGGGTAATTCATTTGCATCATGGGTGCTGATGCGCATGAGATGCATCCTGATGGGACAATCATCTAAAAAGTCAAAGTCATTCGAACAAAAAGGCTTTTAAGGAGATTTAAATAAGACTGAAAGCCTTGAGAGAAAGTGAAATCATTTCCTTATTCGTTGTTTTTGCTGAGATTCTCTTGAACATAATAACGTGGATGCTCTCGAAGGAAGAAAAAAACAAATAGGATGTACCTGAGGACTCAGATACGCGGCTTGGTCGACTTGATATGGATAATTCCCAACGAGACCATATGGCTAGAAAAGATTTCGTTTTTTCCAATCTGTGCTTTGTTGTTCAAGAACCTGCTGAACTTGGTTTCCTTCCAAACCGGCAGTTAGTCCAAAAGTCAGTAATTGACCAGAAGATATCGAGAACATGAGGCTCAATGTGGCAAAGTGAAGAAAATTAAACAAAAAGTCCATTTCAACTATAAGAAAGAGTTTAAGTAGATTAAAAATTCACAAATTCATTAGTGAATCCTTTGAGCCTCAAAATTATTTAAACTGCATGTCTCTGTTGTGTAGGAGAAGAAAGGGAGCAAAGACGAGAAAAAACGAAGATGAACAAGAAGAAGAAGAAAAAAGAACACAAACGATGAGGTCTGAAGTAAGGAAGGAAGCAATGAGTTGCGAGGCAAGTGGACTCTATAACACCTTAGTCTAAGAAAGACAGCAATTTCAGAAAAATGGGTGGTAGAGTTTTGAGTTAAGTTGATGACCTCGTCTAAGGAACACTTGAAAATCGGGACAACCATTATATTTAACAATCCATACAGTTGAATGTGAAAGTCCTATTTGGTTATTGTGTCCAATTGAAACATCAAGCCTTTTAAGCTTCCCCACACCTCAGAATTTTGTAAATACAAAAGATGCAAACCAGCCCTATTAAAAACATTGTCTGTCAAGAGCCATTCATCTTTATTACATAATCACCAATAATAAAAATAAGAGAAGAATGGCAAAAGCTTTCTGTGAAGCATCTCTAGAGACGTCATATAGCAACTTTCCGCTCAATTTTATCGAAAATATTTCAAAAAACAATCTTATAAGTAGTATAGGAATGAGGGATTATAATACCGTTTTTGACATTTCAGTCATTTCAACACATTTTCATTCTCTGATGACAGAGAATCACCTCATTTACAACCTTTTTTTGAAAAAAATATGAAATGAGTGAATTTTAAAAGTCAGAAAAAGTGCTCATTTTCAATAATTTTCGTACATTTTCAACCATTTTTTGTTGGGATGGCGATTTTATTTTTAAATTTTCTATTTTCATACTTAAATACTCAAAAATGTGTCATTTTTCACAGTTTTAGAAATATCAAGGATGGCGAAGGATGGCAATTTATTTTAAAAAGTGGTATTTATCTTTTATTTCCGTGATGTCCTTGTTATCAGCATCGTCTCGTTTCGTCACAGCTGCAATATTTACTCAATAATACGACTGAATTAGGTAGT